CAATGATCTTATCTCGTTTCTGTCTTCCAGGCATCTTGTGCATCTTGGACCACCTAGTGGAAGAACCAATATACATATATATATATATATATATATAATATATGTTATTATTTCATATTAATCAAATAACAAAAGAAACTTAATCAAAGTCAGGTAGCAAACATGCATATATAGCATCCTCAACAAACTAAAAAGAGATACTTAAAATTTGGAATTAGTAGTGCAGCCATGTATCAATTTAAATCCAACATAGTTTGCAAGTTAGCAAACTATATGATTAAAACAATAAAAGCAAAGATAATATTATGTATAACAATGGTAAGATTACCTATTGCCAAGACGAGCATGGAGATCAATGACAAGTTGTTCCTCAAAGTCAGTAAGGAGACCTCTCTTCAAGTCAGGTCTGAAATAATTAGTCCAGCGAAGGCGGCAGCTCTTCCCGCATCTCCGGAGGCCAGCAAGCTTGGGGACGGCTCGCCAACAGCAGTGACCATTGGTGATGATGAAATTGATTAGCTTCTTGTCCTCCTCAGCTGTCCATGGTCCTTTCTTCACACCCAGTTTGTCACAACAAGGCTGCCTCCCCATCACTACTACTTACACATACAACAATTAATATTTCCCTCCTAACGATCACTAGATATTAAAAAACAGTACCCAGAGAAAACAATGACACCCGAAGCCACCACACCAACCTTAATTTGTAGTAGTAAGTCCTGGTCACTCTTCACCAAATATTATATAAATATGTGCGTGTATATGTATGTATATATATGTAAATGAAGGAAGGGAGATTGCTGGAGGGACCACCATTGGGTCTTGAAAGGAACACGGGAACTAAAATGTGGTGTTCTGGTGTGTGTGGGTATAGAGAAGAAGGAAAGTGAAAGCGAAAGTGACGGAAAGACGAAGGGTATATGTATAGGTTTTTTAACTTGAGAAATTTGTTTATATTCTCATATTTTCTTCTCTACACAACCTCCCACTCTTCCCTCATTGCACTCTTACTCAACCATGCCGTCACCAATTCCGTCATCTCCACGTTTACGTGTCCTTATTTGCACTTTGAAGCATCATCCTTGATACGATTTTTACTCATGTACAAAAATATGTTTGATGATTTGTTAAAAGACCCTCTTAATTTTTAATATAATTAAGGGACTTTGTATTATTATTTTGTTTTATTGTATTAATACAATTTCGGTTAGAAATTTCTAAATTTATTATTAAAAATTAATAATTTTATAATTATATATATGCAACATAAATTTTATGCGATTCATTTCAGATAAATATTATTTTATTATTTTATAGAATATCTGATTGGTTTATTTTAATATTTATCTGAAAAGTAAATAAGAAATATTTGAGGTTAATTAATTATATCTATGAAATCTCAAAACTCAATAGTAATTTTTTAGCAGCAAATAGTTTTTATTTTAATTTTTTTTTTTGTTTTGTTGTTGAATTCATATTTCAAAGTTCATAATTGTTAATTACATAATGATGAAAAACTTTTCCAAAGTGATAAAATTGACATTATATAGTAATTTTAAGTGAAATTCAATTAACACATTTCATATATTAATGAAAATTGTTGGTGTCCAAATGGTATTCCCTCAAGTTTACTTAAAATTATATAAGCTTATTTTAAGAACTACTACATAATAAATTGAACCAATTACCTCAAAAACTTAAATTTATTGGAAAAAAATATGTACAATCAATTAAAACCCATACTAAAATAATTGATTAAGGTTTGGTTGGTTCGTAAGTTCAACCTCATAACAACACGAAAGCCTATGATATTTATCCTAGTATGTTTTGGTTTACTATGTTTGACACGGATTGGCTATTATGGTAATACTAGTACGCACCATTGCATTCCATTTGCCACCAATTTATTGTTCTACATTACACTATAATACTTGATTGGTTAGCTAATCAAACGACAACACTTTTCGATTATGATTTCTTTTTTAGTCCCCAACGCAATTAAGAAAAGGGTAAAACTAAACTTAATTGGAGTAGAAATTAATAGGAAACTGTCAAAGACATGGCCAAACTCACACGTCTCTTGGCCGAGGAAGATGTATGTTATCATCTAGGCAAATTCAAAATATACCTATAAAATAATAAATTTTATATTATAAATAAAATTTGCATTTATAATACAATAATTTAACCATCAAAGGTTTTTAATTCATTAATATAAACAAGTAAAACGTGTGTGTGTGTGTGTGTGTGTGTGTGTGTGTGTATATGTATATGTGTGTGTATACATAAAACAGGTTGGGGATAGTTAATAACCAAATTTGTTCATCTTTGACTTGTGTCTCTTGGTTTAGGTGAGGATAGTTGAAAGTTAACACTTTTACCTCAACACTTCTTCTTTTAGACTTCCCCAGCAGCCTACACGATCGAAACTCTTTTCTCTTTGTTTATTTTTTCTGGGTAGACAAACAAACTGTTGATTCTTCAAAATTAATTAAAAAAACTTAAAAGTCCAAAATTTCTTCTTTTTCTTTCACCAAGATTCACTTGCAGGTTCCAAGTGTCCAAAACCCTAAAGTCATATTTCTCATTAAAAATACCAGTACACGCATGCATCATGTAATATATCTATAGGAAAGTGAGATGAATGGGATTTCAGTAATATGCATGGTGCTAGGTAACTTAATTTGGTAGATGATGATAGTCGTCAATTGGGTTACTAAAACTAAATCTCATATAAACTTGAGCAAATTAAAGATTATCCATTGACTTCCTCTATTTCTGTTCCTGTTTTCTTTGCCTCTTTTGTCTTCTTTTTTTGCAAATGCCTAATCAGGATTATTTTTCCTTGTTTACTAATTAGGTTTTCTTGAGAGATGTGTAACATTCCGAGTCCAAAATTTAAGCTCGAGATGACATAATTTGATTTTTTATAATAATGATAATAATAGTTAATTCTAATTTTTATTTTTATTTTTATTTTAGAAATATGGATTTTGTATGAGTTTGAAAATAATTTTGAAAAATATGGTGAAATTGTAAATAAAAAGAATGTGTATTTATAAGAAAAGTTTAAAAACAATGACCAAATCATAATAAAGAAAAAGGCTGCCACGTAGAACAGTCATGTCAGCAACACGACGAGTCAAAACATGCCGCGTGGCGGACATGCTGGCAAGGTTTCACACAAGAGCCACGCGGGTGATCCACGTGCCTGGGCAATCCAACGACTCATACTCTCGCACGCACGAACGACCCAGATCCATTCCCCTATTATGCGCAATTGGACGATCCACACGCCTTTGATCGAACAACCCAGATCTATTCCACTATTAGGCGCGATCGGATGATCTTCGTTGTTTCGTGTGTCCCTGCACGAATGGCTTGGATTGAAGATGAAGAGATATTTAAACCTCTCTTACCCGAGTTCCCCAAACCCTAACCGCTATGTTAACCGAAGAAGAAGAAGAAGGGCGGCTAAAAAGTGAACCAGTCACCGGAGAAAAATCAACGTCGTCGCACCAGAAACCCAAAACTGCACTGATAAGTGCGATTTTCTCTTGTTCGTTTTGTTTTTCCTTTTTAAGCTACCCAAAACACTCTTTAATGCAGAAAAGCTCAAGGAAAGGTTGTAAACCGAGGTAGCAGAGGGCGAAGCTCAGCTGCATCACTGCACTAGAGATCAAAAAACACTAGTAAGCCTCGGTTTTCCCCTCTTTTTGCTGATAGACACCCCTTAATCATGATTTAAACAGGTTTTTATCAAGAACCGGCATAAAACGGCCTGACCGAGAGGAGGAGGAACTAGCGACGGAATATGGCGACACCGACGTGTTAGAACCTTAAACCAACCCACCGGTGAGATTTTTTGCCCTATTTAGTCGTTTTTCGCCTATTTCCACGTTATTTTGACATAAATTTTGAGTTTAGCATAGAAACTCAAGAAACTCAGGAACTGGGAACTGTTAAGAAGTGTAGTGAAAAAGGCAATGTTTTGAACACCGACCTAGGATAAGAATTTCTCACCTTTTTTCTTGTTTAGTAAAATTGAAGCTAAAATGATAAATAAATAAATAAATAACTTACTTAATATGCAATCCTCTAATTAATTAAAGTACTGATTGCTAATAGAGTGGGTAATCGATCAGTTTGCATATATTTGAGTTTTTAATTACAGTAAATACCTCTACCGTTATTATTATGTTATTTTATTTATTGTACTGTTTACTTTAATGTGTTTGTTTTGAATTCTACGACAAATGTAGGAAGACCTCTCTATATATTTTGTCATGTTATTCAATTGTATGTTTAATTGATTGATATTAATGTAATATATTCTTATTTCGTATACTTACCCTTAAATATGAACTCATGTGGTTGGGATATGGATATATAGGCCTCGTAGGGCAAAATAGTAAATAAAAGAGAGCATATGCATGAATTAATTGTGTCAAATAAAAGGATTTACAGATCTGTTGGAAAAGAGTTACGAATGTGGCTGAGAAGTTCCATACCATAAGAGGTTGAGAATTATTTTGATTATGCTCATACCAGACGGAGTATTGAGGAAGTTGTCTATTTTGGCATCTATTATCGGATAAGGTATTGGGACGACCATTTGATTATACAATGAATGCTCGTGTCCACGTATAGTGGGGATCCCTATGGACCCCCAGGGGCACCAATAAGTAAGTTAAAACGATAAAAGTGAATGAGATAGGAACCCAGCTTCGCGAATAATGAAAGGTTAATTGTTGTATGTCTTTTAGAATTCATATTGTAGATTACTATTCTGATTTTTAACTCATAAATAGCATTTAGGAACTTACAGGTGAGTTGAGAAAATATTAGTGTTTTCAGTTAAATAAGTTATGAATGCACTAACATTCGAATTTTATTAAAAATGAACTTCATTGGTTATTTTACGTTTTCTATAAACCTTTTATTTTTCGTATCAGTGGTAAAGTATTGATATTTTTATTGCGCTAGTGTAGCTCACCCTTTTATTATTAACCATTTATTATCAGGACGATTAAGACCTCAATCTTGAACAGCAAGAAAACTAGCAAGAAGATTATCTCTTGGTTTTCCCAGTTTCAAGCATAAGTTGATCATATATGTTTTCTTTATTACTCACTTTTATTTATATTTTTTGAGGGCATTTTTATAGGCTTATTGGGTGTTTTAAGTAAACTGTGCGAGAAATATAACTCTAGACTCTAAACTATTTTCATTAATTTATAAATTTCAGTATTGTTTTATTCTACTATTTCTAGATTGTATTCTCGAAATCCCTAATAGGTAACAGAGTCACGTTCCTCCGAATCATTCTTTGCATATAGGGTTAGAGTAATTTAATGCAACTTGAATTTTAAACTATTGTTATGAAATGTAGGTAAAAGAACATGATGAGAGGAATGGCCCCACTAAATAGAGCAGCCCAAGAATGATCACTTCGAGAGGATGTTGATATACTCTTTGAGATGCTTAAGAGACTTATCTCTAACAAGTATACCAGGGATGAGAGGAGAAGAGAGTTGTCTGATCCCCCTCCACCACTGCTACAGTATGAGCCACCTCCATACTGAGAGGATCCATTACTACCACAGTACAACCCTGCTGTTCTACAGTATCATCCGAAACTGCCGCAGTACCATCTAATGCCTCCACCATACAACCAGGTGCTGCCACAGAGCCACTCGGTCCCTCTTCAATATAATCCAGTT